GACCACTCTCTGGCAGACCAGACCTGTGCTCCGTGGGCCTGATTTTTCAGAAGCCTATAACCAGCCCTTCTTTCAGGGCACCTCTGGGAATTGAACCTTCAACATTTTGGCGAGCATCCCCTGTGCATTAAGGGTACATCAGTTGTGAATGTGGTTGACTGTTGTTACATTGGGGTGTGCTGGTGGCATAGTATTACACTGTTGCCCAAAAGGTCAGGGTTTTTAGGGAGCTCTGGTGGCCTAGTGGCAAGAAGCTATGCTGCAAGCCCAGAGGTACGTGGTTCAAACCCACCAGATTCTCCACTGGAGAAGGAGGTGGAATCTCCTCTTGTACCAGTCAGACCCGATTTGATGTTACACACACACAAAATAATAAAATAAAATAAAAAAAAGTCCAGGTATTTTTAACCCACCACTCCTGGGAGACAAGTAGGCTGTTTCTTCCCTCAAAAGTCAAATGAGGGGAGCTCTGGTGGCCTATTGGCAAGGAGCTGCAACTACAATCCCAGAGGCGCACGGTTCGAATCCACCGGATGCTATGCTGGGGAAGGAGGGGCAATCTCCTCCTGTACCAGTCAGATTTGATTTGATGGTACATACACAAAAATAATAATTTTTTTAAAAAGTCAAATGGGGCCATGAATTGGGCAGCAGGTGGGCTTTGTATAGCTAAATTCATTTAATCAATTTGTATTTTAATGAATTAATTTTAATTATATGACCTTTACTTAAGAACATGGCTGACCATAGCTAAATTATTTTTTTCATTTAAAATTTCTTTTTTTAAAGTTCTTTTTTTCTGTCTCTCAGCCAGCAAAGAGCAAACTTTCCTAGCTTTCAGTTTTGAGAAATGAGTAAAGAGGAGTCATTCATTTTCTGCTTCTTACCTCTATCAAAAAAACCCCATCTGCGCACAGCAGAGATGAGGGAGGGATAAGGCCACGCTCACAGGAAGCCACGCGCCCTTCAAAGGCACCTGTTCTTATTAGCGCGGGGCTGCTCCAACGAGCAAACACTCCTCACCGACCTTCCCCAGAGCTGCTTCCAGCAAAGCGAGGTAAGTGAGGATGGAGCCTGAGCTCAGGCGTCGCACAGCTGCCCCCCCCCCCCACCCACCTGGCCCAGCGCTCACGGCTGACACACAGCGTCTGGGAGCTTCATCCACCTGGGCCCACAGCCAGGCCCCCACCACCGCCACCATGGCCGTCACAGCTGCCAGCTTCTCCCTCTGCACACACCAGGCCTTATAACATCCTCACGTCCCGAACACTCAGATGCCTTTCACCAGAACTGCACACATTCCTGCTTCCCTCTTCTGTGGTGACCCCATCTCTGGTGGGCTAGTGGGTAAGGAATTGCACTGCCAACCCAAAGGTAAGTGGTTTGAATCCGCCAGGTGCTCTGCGGGAGAAAGATGGGCAGTCTCCTCTTGTGTGATTTACAAACTCTGAAAACCTGCTGGAGGGTCAGCTATGAGTTGGTTCCAATGAGACAGCAATGAGCTGAGAGTTTTGAGTTTAGCCAAGGAGCACAGACAGGGACCACAGAATAATGCCAACAACCTACTAGCCGAGAACTGTTTATCGGTCCTGATAACCTAGCCACGTACCCCCTTTCATTCCTTTAGTTTTCACTGATTAAACAGGGGAGAAAGACTACAATTGTTGTTCGTTTAGCAATTTTTCTGGAGACTTTATACTGCACCAGGGTTCCTGCATCGGTTTGTAGAAAAAAACCTAAAATCCCATTCTTGAGAAATGCGTTGCTGGGCATTTGGGGGTGTGGTGGGGGCAGGAGTGAGGGCATGGAGGTGAATACCTGAACAGCAGAGAAGCAGTGAAGTAAAGCGTAGAAAGGTTAAGAAGGAAGTTACAGGCTCAGACCTGGGTCAGAAAGAGCACTGAACTGCTCTAATTCAGCACCTATGCTACTACTTCAAGGTTTAACCTCTTCAGCTGCCGACTTACAGAGGAGATGAGGCTGGGTGGGAAGGGTTCCAGCTACAGCGTGCTTTTGTTTGTTTTTTAAATTGTATTCATTTTAATGAACATTTACAGAGATTTTGGGTTCTCATTCACTCATTGTTGCACTGTTTTCTCTACCCTCCTCCCCAGTTCGTTCTTCTCCCCCCCCCTGTGCTTTTTTTTAAAAAATCATCACATTTGTGGTTTTTTCCTAGTGCTTGTTTCAATTTTTTTATTATTATACTAGTTTATTAACAAAATTAGAATACACTGTTTTCCAGAACAGATTCTTTCAATTTCCCTCACTCCCCCGCCCCCTCCCCCGAACATCCTCATCCCTCTGCTTCCATCCCCCCCGCCCCCCTGCTTGGGTCCTTATACTCATTCTACAATAATGAGTGTGTACTATATTTCTCCTTGTGGGACTGAGTTCACGCAGCATAATGCTCTCCAGTCCCTCACGAGTTAGGTAATAATTTACCAAATCCTTGCTCCTGTGTGCTGCGTGTGAATGTACCATAATTTCTCTGTCCATTCATTTGTGGTTGGACGTCTGAGGACAGCATGCCTTTTGTAGCGTGGTCAGCTGAATGGCGCCTCTCCGAGTCTTTCCTTTAGAGTATGTCAGTTACCTTTGACTAACATACGACTCGGAGCACAAGGGTTTTCTGGGGAGAGGAAATGACAGGAACATGACAGCGAGATTTAGGTGCACACAGCAGGCTTTGAAGTCTATCAAGTACAAAGCACGCATAGAAATGACTGTCTTAAAATAAAATTGAGTGACTCCCCTGAGTCCACCTAATTAGAATGGATTAATTCTAAGGAATCTCTCAGTAATTTCTGAGTTTGGGGAGTTGAGATCTGAAGGGGAAATGTCCACAGATTGACTTACCCTGTTTGCGTGTGTGTTGGAGAGATCTGGGTGCAAGGCTGCTGGGGATATTAACCGTTATTGTCGTCCTTCTAAGTGACTCCAGTGGCCTCATCCAGTATTCAGTGGCCCCATCATGTTGTCATGCGACCGTTGAGTCGGAACTGACCCATTGCTAACCCTCCGGTGGGTTTTCAGAGGCAGTAAACCTCATGGGAGGAGATTGCCTATCATTCTTCTGCCGAGCAGCTGATGGATTCGAACCATATGCCTTTGAGATTGCAGCACAGCTTCTTAACACTAGGCTACCAGAGCTCCCTAGTTGTCCAGTGGATTGCAACTCATGTATGTCATCCCGTGTGTGTCAGAGCGGATCTGGGCTCCACAGGGTTTTCACAGCTGATGTGGAAGCTGATTGCCAAACCTTCTTCCAAAGTGTCGCTGGGGAAACTTGACCATTCCACTCTTTCAGTTAGCAGACAAGCGCTCTGACAGCCTGCAACGCCCAGGACTCCACCCCAGACTACAAACTCACTCATAGCACAAAACCTCTCCCTCAGGGCATGTTTTTGGGAGGAACCAGTCCTTGGAGAGAGAGACATCAAGACGGGAAAGGTAGAATGTAGGTGAAAGAGAGGGAGACCTTCTCTGAGATGGATTATACAGTGACCGCCAAGTGGGCTTGAAGACGTCAGAGAAGACAGGATGGTGCTGGGTGAGGTCCACTCAGGTGTTGTTCGCAGGGGCGCTGTGAGTCGTCGCTGACTTGATGGCACCTAATAACAACAACAAACCTTACACGTGAGAAAACCGAAGCTGCTAGCAAAAGGATATAAAAAATATCTGTAGGAGGAGCTGATGATCATCAGAGACCCTGGGCTGTACGAGGAGGTAGGTGGCATCAGGATTGGTGGAAAAATCATCAACAACCTGCGTTATGCAGATGACACAACCCTGCTGAAACTGAGAAGGACCTGAAGCGCTTGCCGCAGAAGGTCAAGAATTGCAGCCTTCAATATGGATTGAAGCTCAATATCAAGAAAACAAAGATTCTCACCACTGGGCCAATTGGCAGCATCATTATGGATGGTGAATAGATTGAAAGAGTTAAGAGTTTTAGTTTACTTGGTTCCACAGTCAACACTCTTGGTAACAGCAGCCAGGAAATCAGGGAAAGTCAGCTGTGTGGACTTCTCAAGAGTACTGAAGTGCAATGCCTTCAGACTGGAGACTAAGGTGCGCCTGATCCAGGCTATAGTCTTTGAAATTACTTGCTATGCATCGGGGAGTTGGACAGTGAATAGGGATGATAGAAAGAGAACTGATGCTTTTGAGCTGCGGTGCTGGAGAAGAGTACTGAATATACCATGAACTGCTAAAAGAACAAACAGTTTGTCCTGGAGAAGGTGAAGCCAAGCTGTGACTTGTAGTCAAGGATTCTGAGGCTTCGTCTGACATACTTTGGGCATCTTGCAAGGAGGGACTGGTCCTTGGAGAGGGACATCATGTTTGGGAGAGTGGAGGGACAGTGCAGGAGAGGAAGACCCTCGATGAGATGGATTGATTCTGTGAGTGGAGTGGTGGGAATGAGTGTGTTGGAGACAGTGAGGTTGGCACAGGATAGAATGGCATTTAGGGCTCTTCTACATAGGATCGCTGTGAGTCACAAGTGACACAATGGCACATAGCAACAACAACAACAGGAGGAGCTGAAATTCACAATTTGAACTACATCTTTCTGATGGCAAAGGTGGGGTTATGACATTGATTTTGCTGCCTTTGAATGCCCTGAGGGCTTCCTTACAGGAAGGTGTGGAATGAGGGTGGACACACAAGCATTAACAGCTTTGCTTTCAGCAGAGTTGCAATTGAGGTTGCCTTTTTAAAAAGTTTTCTTCTTCTTTCATATCGGCTTGGACACAAAACTTGCATACATTCTATTTTATTCATTGTGTTTCATACATTCCTTCATTTGCATTGTGTTTCAGTCATTCATATACACTGGGTTTTATAAAATCAAGCACCATTGATCTATGCCTGCTATTACCCTATTACCCCATGACTGGGATTTATTCTCACAGAAGTCTTATTTGCTCTTCCTTTTATTAGCTTCTGCTGATTAGACCCAGGCCTGGTCCGAGGAGCCTGTAGGTTTTAAAAGGATGAACCCCACGGCTTTGACGGACACCACCCAGGATGAGAGCATATACAGCAACTATTATCTCTATGAAAACATCCCCAGGCCTTGCACCAAAGAAGGCATCAAGGCTTTTGGGGAGCTCTTCCTGCCCCCGCTTTACTTGCTGGTCTTTCTGTTTGGCCTGCTTGGCAATTCCATGGTGGTCCTGGTCCTGCTCAAGTACAAGAGGCTCAAGTCCATGACTGACGTCTACCTGCTCAACCTGGCCATCTCCGACCTGCTCTTCGTCTTCTCCCTCCCCTTCTGGGCCTACTACGCGGCCGACCAGTGGGTGTTCGGGCTGAGTCTGTGCAAGATCATCTCCTGGATGTACCTGGTGGGCTTCCACAGCGGTATCTTCTTCATTATGCTCATGAGCATCGACAGGTACCTGGCGATCGTGCACGCAGTGTTTTCCTTGAGAGCCAGGACCTTGACTTACGGCGTCATCACCAGCGTGGCCACCTGGTCGCTGGCCGTCCTCGTCTCGCTCCCAGGCTTTGTCTTCAGCACCTGCTACACGGAGCGCAACCACACGTACTGCAGGACCCAGTACTCCCGGCATCCCACGGCCTGGCGGGTCCTGAGCTCCCTGGAGATCAACGTTCTGGGGCTGCTGGTGCCCCTGGGGATCATGCTGTTCTGCTACTCCATGATCATCCGGACCCTGCGGCACTGCAAGAACGAGAAGCGCAACAAGGCCGTCAAGATGATCTTTGCCGTGGTGGCCCTGTTCCTCGGCTTCTGGACTCCTTACAACATCGTTCTCTTCCTGGAGACCCTGGTGGAGCTGCAAGTCCTCCAGGACTGCACCTTCGAAAGGCACCTGGACTTCGCCATTCAGGCCACGGAGACCCTGGCTTTCGTTCACTGCTGCCTTAACCCCGTCATCTACTTCTTTCTGGGTGAGAAATTTCGCAAGCACATCCTCCAGCTCTTCAAAACCTGCCGGGGCCCTTTCTTGCTCTGCCAGTACTGTGGGCTCCTGCAGATTTACCCCGCCGACACCCCCAGCTCCTCCTACACACAGTCCACCATGGACCATGATCTCCACGATGCCTTGTGACAGGTGGGGATGAGAACGCCGGAACTTTGCAAAGTCACAGCTGACATGAATTGGTGTTTGAGTGAGAGCTCCTTGAATGGTGCATGAAGACTTATATCCATAGCAGAAAGCTGAATTCTCACTTGGACGCTGACTTTCTCTCTTCCGATGGGCAATCTCGGCCTGGCCAGACCTGCTGGGACGGAGGCATCTTACGCTCCATGATCTTGCCCACGGGGATAAGTTCCAGAAGAATTCGGAGTCATGTTTCAGTGAGGTTACAAATGATACTGAAGGGGAAGGAGCCTCTCCTTCAAACTGGACCTGATGGGACGCTCCAAGGGCATGACAGTGAATTGACTGATGCTGTAAATCACGATTTCTCCTTGGAAAAATAGACCCTCTAATTGAGCTCTCAGGATTGGCATCCACTTCCTAAACAACATGCCTCCAGAAACTCTATGGACTTTGATAAGTGTTGATAGATAGTTATGCAAAGTCTTTAAGCCTTTTGTTCATAGGGTCGCTGTGAGTTGTATTCAACTCAAGGCAATCAACAACAACAATTGATCTCTAGGTTTTGTCAGACAATATAGAACTTTTGACATGCTGCCCTGGTATTCTTTTTCCAATAATTGGTTGAGGCAAGGTACAGTAGAGGAAGTTGGGCAGAGGCAGTAAGAACTAGTAATGCACTTAACTCTTGATTCTTAGGTTGATTGTAAATTGAAGCCAAGTTAACCAGGCTGATTCCAAAGGTGAAGATAGGAAGGCATCGGCTAGTTCTGATTCCCAATCATGAAATGCATCAAAAAACCAAGCTTGCTTTTAGGCATTCGAACATGGTTTCATTTGCTTGTGGATATGTTTGGTTTTAATTATAACAGAGAAATATTTACATTTCAGAAAGAAGGCAGAGACACCTCCCTCCAATACGCTTTCGGAGCCTTTTCCCTGTTTACGAACCCCAAACCAAAACTCAGCCCAGTGGCACAGGGTCACTTCTGGTTCCCAGTGACCCTGTCGGAGGCTCCACGTCCTATCATAAGCAAATTGTCTCATCTTTCTCCTGAGGAACACCTAGTGGGTCTGAACCACTGACCTTTTGGTTAGCAGCCAAATTCTTTAACCATCATGCCACCAGAGCTTCTTGTTTATAAATAGTGCCTTCAATGGAAAAACAAAGAGGATTAATAAAATGGGAGGGAAATGCAGGAGAAGGATGGGCAATCTCCTCCCATGCACTTAACAGTCTCTGAAAACCCACTGTAGAGTCAGCAATGGATCAGATCCAACTCAATGTACTCAACAACAGAATGGGAGGGGGCTCTGGGGAGCTAGTGTTGAGGAGCTGCACTGTCAAGGGCATGCATGGTTTGAATCCACCAGGTGCTCTGAGAGAGAGAGAAATGAGCAAACCCCTCCCGTGAGCAAACAAAGTTTGCTGATACAGCATACAAATGACTGTAAAAAACCCTGATGAGATGGTAAAAAGTGCTATCCTCTGTTTCAAATGCTCGCCTTGGTCTTTAACTTCTAGATGATTCATAGTTTTTCATCAGTCATTTCATACCAGTTATTTTAATCATCTCGTTAACCATTTTACACCACTGATATACACTGCAATCTCTCTCTTACAGCCTTTAATTAATCAGAACTCAAGAAAAACACCCACAAAATCTGGGGAGACTTCCAACCCCTCCCAAAGCAAAAATCTATGTTGTTTACGATATTAACTGAGTTAATCAGCTTAGGGTGCTTCTGTCAGTTTAAACTTTCTGCGTGTTGACGAAAAATACACTTCCAGAAAATTCATTTTCAGAAATGTGGTTTGAAAAGGGAAAGCTGATGTTGTCTTTACAGAAATAAAAGGAAATAAACTTGGCTGTAGAGTCCTTTTTTCCTTACAAGGTTTGTATTTGAATCTCTTGAGAGGAGTGCACACCTGGCTGCTGATGTTCTCATTTTGCCTGATCATCTTACCTGATCTCAGGTTGTCTGAGTCACGGATGTGCTGAAGGGGAGGGAGCAGAGGGCCCACGGTTAAGGTCTCTGCCTGGGTTGACACGAGCTGCTCTCTGTTGTGTGCACTTGGAGACAAGTGTGGATAAGGAGTTGGGATCAGGAGGCTCCTGACCACTGTCACCTGGCCCATGTCTGTGTGGTCCGTTGTTGTTAGGTGCCAGTGTGTGAACTACAATGATCCACAGGAGATTGGAACCGTCTTTGACAGGCTCGGGCCCATTGTTCCAGTCACCGTGCCAGTCCATCTTGTTGAGGGTCTTCCTCTTTGGCTGACGCTCTGCCTTTCCCAGGATGAGGGGTTTTCGCAAGGACTTGGCCCTCCTGACAACATGTCCGGAGTATGAGATGAAGGGTCACCATCTTTGCCCTAAGGAGCACACTGACTCCGTTTCCCCCAAGGCAGCCTTGTTTGGTTTTTTTGGCAGTCCATGGGACATTCAGTTGTTGTTGTTGTTTTTGTTCTGCTTCCCCTCCCATGATATAGCTTATAGTTTTATTCCTTTAACCACAGCGATTTTTATTTTGTTTTATATTTTCTTTTCTTTTTAAATTTTCTTTATTTTTTCATTTTTTTAATGTATGCCATCAAATCGGTTCTAACTGGTACAGGAGGGGATTGTCCCTCCTTCTCCAGCAGAGCATCTGGTAGATTCAAACCAAGTACCTCTGGAATTGCAGTGCAGCTTCTTGCCACTAGGCCACCAGAGATCCCTTAATTTTTATTTTATTTCAAGTCAGTTCCAACTCACAGCAGCCCTGGTACAGCAGGAAACGCTGCCTGTCCTCCCCAGCTCTGCGCTTAAACCCATTGCTGCAGTCATGGTGTCAGTTCACCCCACGTGGGGTCTTCCTGAGATTTGCCAAATCTTACATATGTGGTGGTTGTGTACCGTCAAGTCGGAACTGACTCGAGCTGACCCTTGAGTGGGTTTTCAGAGGTTTTAAATCTCACGGGAGGAGACCGCACGTCTTTGTCCTTCAGAACAACTGTTGGAGTCAAACCAGATGTCGCTGAGTTGACAATTAAAGTCCTGACCCTAAGCCACGAGAGCTCTGTATTGCAGTGATTACAACAAATACATAAGATGAATAATGCTGCTTTGCATCTTTCTGGATCACAAATAAATGATGATTTTGTATCTTTCTGGCCAGAGACTGCTTCCCCTCCCATAATACACCTTACGATTTTATTCCTTTAACCACAGAGATTTTTATTTTCTTTTTGTTTTTTAATTTTATTTTATTAGTGTGTGTGTGTGTGTGTGTGTGTGCTGTCAAATCAGATCTGACTGGTACAGGAGGAGATTGCCCCTCCCCCTCCAGCAGAGCATCTGGTGGATTCAAACCATGCACCCCTGGGATTGCAGTGCAGCTTCTTGCCACTAGGCCACCAGAGCTCTCTTGTTTTCTTTTCACACACTCATTCATGCACATTATGTTTTAGGATATTAATCACAATTGATCACTGCCTTTTATCACCACAGCTCATCAAATCCTCCCTGCTCTTTGCCTCTGCCTTTTCCCCACCTATCTGCACCCACTACTCTAGAAACAGATGTTTTAAGACACTAGGAGACACTGACTGGCTAAAGTTTTTAAAAAGTAAAGAAAACAAACTACCAGTTGTCTTGGAGTTGAGCTCCTGGCCACCTCTTATCTGTGAAGATAGGACAGTGCACCACAGCATTTTCCTCTCTGGATTTTGTTTAGTCGGCTCTTGTTGAGAATATAAATAGTCAAATGTGCACCAACTCAATTGTTATTTTGTGTACAGTTATGGAAGGAGGTTACACACATCCTTTGAGTTTCAAAACCCTTCTCACTCTCCTTTCCCAGTTGTTCTGCCTCATACATTTTCTGCCTGTGAGTTTACCACGGTTTCAAATTGCTGTTGTAGATTTGATCCCATAGAGATAATTTTCTTTTTTTTTTAATGATGAGAAAAATTTGTATTTACAATTAGCCAGCTGGACTCGGTTTAGATGATTCCAGTTTGGTTGGCGACATCCAAAGCATCATAGTCAGGAGCGAGTCAAACACAGGCCTTCTTCTCTCCATCAGGCCTAATCAAAGTGTTGACCTTGGCCATATCAATATCATAGAGATTCTTTACAGCTGGTTTGATTTGGTGCTTGTTGGCCTTGGCATCCACAGTGAACACAAGTGTGTTGTTATCTTCTATCTTCTTCATGGCTGACTCAGAGGTCATGGGAAAGTTGATGATGGCATAGTGGTCAAGCTTGTTTCTCCTGGGGGCGCTCTCCCAGGGGTATCAGTTTTGGGAGGGACAGGGGCTTCCTTCTTGCCAAAACTTAACTTATTTTTTGTGGATTTTTTTCCCCTAATAATCATCCAAGTGAAATGATATCTCCCTGTGATTTTAATTTGTGTCTCTCTGGTGGCTAATGACACTAAACATGTCTTTTCCTGTTTGGTGGTCACTTGAAGGTCCTCTTTGGTGAACTGTCCATTCAAATCCGCTGTCCATTTTATGACTAGGTTATCTGTCCTTTCGTTGTTAACTTGTCCAAGTTTTGTATCTACTTTGGTTATTAGATTATTGTCAGATATATGATCTCCAAGGAGTTCTAGTGGTGATCTTGTAGATAGAGAGGTGTGCTGCCAACCCAAAGGCAAGTGGTTCAAATCACTGCATTCTATGCAGGGAAACTTCAAAGCCTTGAGAATGCTTGAATCCCTCCAAGCCCTATTGCACCCAAGTTTGCTGGGAGATTTAGGAAGAACAAGGTCTGATGAGCTGCCCTGTTTATAAGGTCAGGAACATGGATAAAAGAAGTTAAGCTTAGAAAACTGTAGGTCTTGTGCTTGTTCTCAGTCTCCATGAGCCCTCTTCCTGTGGAATGCTGCTCAGGTGGCAGGGAGTGGGAGCAACCTAGTCCATAGAGAGTTTTACCGTCAACCCAAAGGTGGCTCCTCTCTGGCATTTCAAAGCCACCAGCTGCTCTGCAGGAAAAAGATGGGCAATCTCAACCTAT